TTCCTTCCTTCCTTCCTTCCTTCCTTCCTTCCTTCCTTCCTTCCTTCCTTCCTTCTTCCTCCTCCTCCCCCCACCATAAATTTCACACTCTTCTATCATGAATGATGTTACCTAGGTAATGGGTAATGAAACGTCTGCAAGGAAACAACCAAACTCGGAGAGGACCAAGGACCCCTCTTTTCAACCTTGAGCTACAAATATTGCCTTTGACTGGTGAAGTTTTCCACTTTAAAACAATTAAGCAGGGGCATCCATCAAGGATTTGCACAGCCTTCCCTCAGAATCTCCTAAATCTATCTTCTTCTATTGTATAAAAATGGCTGTGTGTGTGTGTACGGTCTAGCATAACTCGGGAATGCGTCGAGCAATTTCAACCTAACGTGGTAGATGACTTACCCTCTGGAAAAAAATACTGCGGGGGTAACCTTGTGTGTGTGTGTGTGTGTGCGTGTGTGTGTGTGTGCGCCTTAAAATGGCTTCTACTGTACAGCACAGTGGAATTGCCATGGTAACAGCTTCACAGTACTCCACAAGGGGGCTCCCTCTGACTTGCGATGCTGCGCAAGAGACCTACTACATCTAGAGCTTCACAGACAGTACAACAGCGTGAGCCCCTACTACAGGTTTTTCCTGCCTTAATACAGGATTCGGATAAATGAATACCTGGGCAATGCCAGGTAATCAGCTAGTACCTAATACAAATCAAGGGGCTTTTGAGTCTTACCTTTCTTGGGAATTTTAGGCAGTAAATCTTTCAGCTCCTGGATCCTGGCCTGGACAGCTATCTTCCTCTTTGTATCAGTTTCAGGTATTCTTTGAGAGAGAAAGGGAACCAAGTTAAGGAACTCAATGCCAGTTTCCCTCAACCTCATGGATAAAATCGGTTCCCATCAAACTAAAAACAAGCAGTTTTAGCCCAACACTTTTAGCAAAATCTACATCAGACACATTGGGTTGACTGCAGAACAGTATAACAGCCGTAAATGCGGTGGTGTTGCCAAGCAACCGAAATGCAGTCACATGACTGCAAGGATGCAGAGTGGAGTCCAGTTGTCAGACCCTCATAATTACGTCATAACTCCCTTTTTATAGGTAAGTCGCAGCTTTGAATGGTCTCTAAGAGACCAGCTGTAGGTCAAGGATCACCCCTAAATACTTATAAAAACTGCAGAGGGCAAGCCTCATCTTAAAATGGAGTTTTCCCCCTCTTTTATGACACTTTTATGTCTGCTGCTCTAAAGACAACATGGAATAAGCTTTCCTGTTTCCAGTTAAGGTTTACTTTGGAGCAAAACTGGAGTAAGATTATGCAGGTAGCCCTCAACTTACAACAGTTCACTTAGCGACCGTTCGAAGTTACAACGCTGCTGAAAGAAGTGACCTGATGACCATTTTTCACATTTATGACCGCTGCAGCATCCCTGATGGTCACGTGATTTACATTTGGACACTTGGCAACTGAACTCACATTTATGACGGTTGCAGAATCCCTGGCTCACGTAATCCCCTTTTGCGACCTACTACACGAGCAAAGTCAAATGGCACGTAAAGGGAAAATAAACCCCCCAAAAAGGTCCAGAGGACTTACGTGGGGCTGGAACAGTATTTCTGCAACATGAATTTTGAAAGATCCTCCAAGATGGGTTCGCTGTGCAGTGCTACAAACTGATCACGGCATATCTAGGATTCAGAGAACAAATCGCTTAAAGATCCTTCCTGAAACATGTAGAGAACCCTCACAGAGTACAGGCTGCCCTCAAGTGTCAGGATTCCGGCAGTTACCCCCCATTTAAATCATGAGTCTCGAGCCAAACGTCCAAAAAACTTCAAAAGGATTAATTGGGAATTAAACTGTCCGGCACTGCCTGGGTGGAGCCGACTCTGAGACACATCATTTATTGTCACCCTTGACCCTGGTTTTCCCTCCACCCCTTGGGTGTATCGTAATTCATATTCTCCAATGGGACACCTCCATAGCCCAGAGTCATCAGTCAGGCTCTCCAGTTAGAATTGTGCAGGGCAGAAACTTCAGTCACCTAGTTACTATCTTTGAAAACATTTATGGAATGCACTTTCGGTGTTTGCAAGCTGCTGCACTGCTCCCCCCTCCCTTTCTGTTGACAACTCTAAAAAGGCCATAGAAATATTTTATGAGTTGACATTCGACTTACGACAGTTCATTTAGTGACTGTTCCAAGTTACGAACAGCACTGAAAAAAGTAACTTACAACCACCTCTTGAACTTACGACCACCGGAGCAGCCCCATGATCATGCGATCCAAATTTGGGCAGCCTTCATTTATTTAGAATGGTTGCAACACCCTTTATAAAGAACTGCTTTGTAAAACCCTAGTAAAACTGCACCTGGAACACAGGTAATCCCTGGGTTACGAGCGTTCCTTTAGCGAACATTCAAAGTTACGTGATAAGTGCCCCCCTAGCATTTGCGAACAAGGCCCGAAATTACAAATCTTGCAGGACCACAGCAGTTGTTCGCTCTTACAAACAACCGCATAGGCTCGGCAACATTTGTCCTGCACATTGCCGGCTGAAATGCAGCTTCCGAGGGGTGGATCTGCCCCTCAGAAGCTCCATTCGGGCATCCAGAGGCCTTGCCTGCTACACTGCCTGCCAAAATGGAGCTTCTGCGGGGTAGATGTGTGGTTGTACTTCAAGCACTACCTATTTATAGGTTCACTGTACGCTAACACCCTCTACAAGAATCTGAACTACTAACAGTCAAAGGAAATGGGTGGTAGATAAGAATTCACACTGGGCTGGACTTAGAACTCTTTATGGGTGCAAAGGGACTCGAGACTGATGACGTGTTTGACCCCTCCCTCGGGCTCAGCCTGATCATCTCCTAGAGGCAGCTTGGTATAAGGTTTAAGGCTCCAAACTAGACACCAATGACACTGAGTTTACTTTGGGATCTTTTAGAGATTTTGGTCCAATCCCTCGAGGAAGAAGGTGGCGAGAGAAAACACACTCCTGAAAACCTTGCCAAGAAAAGTGCAATGGCTTGTTCTGGCAGACACCAGGAATCCAAACTGACTCAATGACAGGCAGAACCAACCAGCATCACTTGTGAATAGTCTGAAGCAGAAGCTTCACTGTTAAGCCACCTACTGTGTGTTACAAGAATCTTGCCCGACTGACTGCATTCTCTTGGGAATGGTCAGATCCGGCTTCACGGGGCTGTGACTGCTTTCTGCAACGCAAGGGCTTGTGAGAACAGGCCAAAGTTCCCAGGCCTAAGGATGAAACAGGCGCGTATCTTGGCTCTGCATGGCCCTTGCACGGGAGGCACAGAAGACCACGTAACCATGGGAGCCCCTCCTCCCTGCTTGTAATTAGCAAGTTAAATGGCCATCTTGGGATTACCTTTGGAAGTTTATATTGCCGTTGTATAAATTTATTTATTTTTAAAATCCTAACTTAATTCTAATTTAATTTTATACATGGTTTTATTTATCGATGACATCATATTTGCACACTGCTTAAATCCAGTCTTTGAGGGAGGTGGGCTGTTTAGAAGTATGACAAAATAATATATAAAAAAACCAAATAAATACAGTGGTATCCCGGTACTCATCCTTAATTGATTCCAGGAGATTCAATGAGTGGCAAAAACAATGAGCACCAAACAAATTTTTTCCATAAGGAATAATGTAGTGAGTTACGTTATAGGTCTAGCTCAGGGGTGTTAAATTCAAGGCCTGCAGGCCGAATCTGGCCCACATGGTGCTTAGACCTGGCCCGTGGGACTGCCTGTAAACAACGAAGGACCGGCCCACGGTGCCTCTGCCAGTGAAAATGGAGCTCGGGGGGGGGGGGGCTCCGTTTTCGGCTGGGATAGCCTCCTGCAGCCCTCCCCCAGTGAAAACGGAGCTCAGGGAGGCCACATAGGGCCCCTCCAGGCTCTGATTTCGTTGGCAAAGAGCTGCAGGAGGCCGTCCCCGAGGTCACGAGGTCAAACACAACTCTGATGCAGCCCTCAATCGAGTTTGACACCCCTGGTCTAGCTGATGTGTTGAGTACCAAACGATGAGTACCGGGACAAAATGTTCGCATCAAAATGCGTTGAGTACCAAATTTGTTGAGTTCCAAAGCAATTGAGTATCAAGGTGCCACTGTAAATAAATAAACAAGCTGTTCTGACCAAAGCTTCCCGAGACCGTAATTAAGCACGTGCTCAGTTAAAACAACTCTTGTTTTATTTCAACATTGGGAATTATATTCATTCCCAGATGGTAATGAGTCCCAAACAGTCCCTCGAGATGCACCCACCTTTCTTTCTCTTGAATTGCTGCCAACAACAAAAGTGCCAAATGAACCACAGAGCTTCAAGGTTCAATCTGAACAGAATGAATGACTTTGCTTCCTGCAAAGGTTTCATCACCTTGGCCTGTCCTTTATCCCTTATGGGAGGGGCAATCACCTCCAAGCCTTACTCCCGAATCGCCACTGCATTTATTTGTTTTTTTATTTATGTATTTTTTTTTTGTCTCGGCTGCTCTCGCCTTCTAGCAGCTCTGCGCACACGCGCACTGGGAACAGGCTCCCCTTGCTCCTCTGCCCTGCTGCTGCCAGACTCTGGAGGCTCCAGAGTCATCACCCCACTCCCAGATGGTCCTGGCCCCGTCTCTGCATCGGACGCAGGACCCTCGTCCGAGTCCTCTCCAGACTCCCGGACTGGTCCCTGTTCTTCCCCACTCACTGATTCCGCTGCCGGAATCTGCGCAGGCTGCCGGTGAATCACAACACAAGCAAGCATGGTGGCTGGGAAATTCTGGGAGTTGAAGTCCACCATCTTGGAGTCGCCATGTTTGAAAAGCAACATCTCAGACCCAAGGCAGGATAAACCAAGCGTTTGTATGGGTGGCATTATTTTTACCTTATTCATTATGTCCACCGTGGCTGCATGTGTCCAGAAACAGTCATGCACAGAGACAAAGGTTAGCCCGGCCCTGAAAAAAAAGAGAAGCAGATGAGTTTCACCCTATAAGGCAAAATTACAAAATTTAGAAAACAATTTTTAAGGGGGAAATATTTGCTGTAAAGACAGGATCTGGAAGCAACGTCAGTGTTAATCTGATGTAGTTACCAGTCAGCTACAATGGGATGAGAACCCAACTTAATGTTGTTTCGACTAATTGTATTTAGCATCTTTAAATGTTTTCTTGTCCTTCTTTCTTTTCATAAGATGGGTGGAATTTATTTTACATAATGATAAACATGGTGATATCAATATGAATGTCCCTGATTATGGTGTGGAAAGTGATTTATAATTATTTCTCAAGGCGATAGGATTGTTTTCGTTTGATGTAATCTATTATCTGATCAATGAAATAATGGACTCTAAATTTTATGAGACCTACAAAGTGCTTATTGATATTTAATTTTCCAGCTAATATAGATAGTCCTCGATTTACAACAGTTGGTTTAGTGACCAAAGAACAAGGGCACTGAAAAAAAGTAACTTATGATGGTTTTTCACACTTATCACCACTGCATCATCCCCATGGTCACATGATCAGCATTCGGTTGCTTGGCTACTGACTCACATTTATGACGGTTGCAGTGTCCCCAAGACATGTGATCCCCTTTTGCAACCTTCTGACAAGAAAAGTCAACTTCCCTGTTCACTTAACAACTGAGTTACTAACTTATCAACTGCAGTGATTTCACTTAACAACTGTGGCAAGAAAGGTCGTAAAATGAGACAAAATTCACATATGTGTTTCACTTAACAACAGAAATTTTGGGCTCCACTGCAATCGTAATTGAGGAACCTAAGTTTTATGAGACCTATAAAGTGCTTATTGATATTTTATCTTCCAGCTCATACCACTACTATGATGACTTACACTCATTCATTTAATGACCCTTTGAAGTTACAATGGCACTGGAAAAAGTGACTTACAAGTGGGACACACTTATGACCCTAACGTTTAAGCAAAGTTCAAAATAAGCAGTCCAAAGTAATTCACAGGTAAGATCAGTTTTCAGTCCAGGGATAATCCAATAACAAAGTCAAAACAGTTCAGTATCAGACTTACGTCAAATCCAAGAATATCAGTCAATTAGAAGGAACGGCAAAACTCTCCAACAGAAGGAAACAGAGACACACTGAGACTTCTTCTGAGACTAAGACTAAACAACCCAGGTTTTTGGCTCCATCTTATGGCCATTTGAGAAATCACACCCAATTACAGTTTTGCATTTTCTTAAAGATACAGTATTAAAATGTCTATCCTGGTTTATATATTTCCAACCCAAATACCTGTTAGATGACTTATATTCCCAACACCCACCACATAAGCCACGCCCACAGAACCGGTTGTTAAAAAATGTGAGTCCCACCCTGGTTGAGGGCCAGCTGTATATCTTTTCTTTCTCTCTCTCTCTCTCTCCTCTCTCTCTAATTGTATGAAGTTATTTATTCTTTAAATGATTTAAAATAAGCAGAATGCAAAGAGAAGCAGATGAGTTGGCAACCGAACTTTCCTGAACTAGCTCTTGCTAGTTGCTTTAGGCTGACAGCGGCAAAGTGAAAGGTGATAAGCATGGAAATTCCTTAGTAAAATGAATTGCTACTGAACACACACGTGGGCCTTTATCAGCTTTTTCAGTCAAATTGTTTTGCTGAAGGCCGGTCATGGATCTTGCATTCTTTTCTATGTTTAAATGCAATGGCTATTTAGGCTGCTGTTTTGCTAGAATTGTATATACCAAGGGTGTTTTCTTCAAGGGCCAGAACAGCATTGTAATTCTCTTCTGCAGGGCCCGTGGGGCCTTCTGTGCGGCCAGTTTTCAGCCTCCCCACCAGTGGTGGGATTCCAAAACTTTTACTACTGGTTCTGTGGGTGTAGCAAGGTGGGCGTGGCAGGGGAAGGATGTTAGGAATATAAGTCACCTAACAGGTATTTGGGTTTTGTCCCATTTTAAGGCTTTTCTTTGCCATAGTTGTTAAGTGGATCACTGCAGGTGTTTAAGTTAGTAACATGGTTAAGTGAATATGGTTACCTCATTGATTTTCCTTGTCAGAAGGTCGCAAAAGGGGGGTGGGGGTGTCACATGACCCCAGGACACTGCGACCATCATAAAGGTGAGTCAGTTGTTAAGCATCCGAATGTGATCATGGGGATGCCGTAACGGTCGTAAGTGTGAAAAATGGTCATAAGTCACTTTCTTCAGTGCTCTTGTCGATTTTAACTAGGGGTCTTCAAACTTGACAATTTTTAAGACTTGTGGACTTCAACTCCCAGAATTCCTCCTCCAGTCATGTTAGCTCAGGAATTCTGGGAACTGAAGTCCACAAGTCTTAAACTTGCCAAGTTTGAAGACTCTTGTTTTAAACGGTCACTAAATGAACTGTTGTAAGTTGAGACTACTTGTAACTGGAAGCAGAATTGTTATGGGTAAGCCTCAACTTCCCTTACAGACTGGGAGGAGAAAGAGGCAAGGCAAGGGGGCAATTTGAACAGTAGTTAAGATAATAGAGAAGGAAATGGGCCCATTCATGAGACAATATAGAGTTCTAATGTACTCAGAAGTCATCTAGTCCATCCCACAACACTTCATGCAGAATTTACAGGCAGTCCTCAACTTACAATCATTCATTTAGTGACTGTTTGAAGTTACAACGGCACTGAAAAAAGTGACTTATGACTGGGTTCCAAACTTATGACTGCATCCCTATAGTTACGTGATCAAAACTCACACACTGGATATTGACCATGCCTGGGAGTGGGGCTGTATATTGGAACCTTAAGTCTAATTTTTGGAGTTCATGGGAACTTCAAATGGTTGCTAACAGACCTGTTACATAAATACAGGTAGTTCTCAATTTACAACAGTTCACTTAGTGACCATTTGAAGTGACAATGGCGCTGAAAATCATCAAAATTCACATGCTTGGCAACTGGCAAATTTTAAAAAGAGCCGGCATGGTCATACTCCACTCACTATCAAGGATGCAGCTGTTGAGATGGTCAACAGTATTAAGTATCTGGGGGTGCAGATAACTAACCATCTGATTTGGTCTCTTCTTACATCATCCTTAGTGAAGCGTGCAAACCAGCGCCTGCATTTCCCGCGTTGGATGAGGAGAGCGCACCTTTCTCCTCCTGCCTGGCCACTTTTTACAGAGGCACGACTGAGAGCATTTTAGCAAACTGCATCACCGTTTGGTTTGGTGGCTGCAGTGCCTCAAATAGAAAAGTCCCTACAGAGAGTGGTGAGGACAATGAAGAAGTTTATAGGAAGCTCACTTCCTGTCACTCAGGATGCTGTTTATAGGCACTGTGTGTTAGAGCTCAAGCTGCCAGCCAGCCTGTGGCTTGCTGCCATAGAATAGGGGGAAGCTGACACTGCAGCTTTGCAACTGCTGTTACCTCCAAGGCCAAGCCTGTTGGCTCTAGTACGCGCTTGCCTAGCTACAAAGGGGTTGGGCTGTATACTGTGTTTGAAGTTGCTGCCCTTTGCGCTGTTTTGCCTCATAGCTTGCTTGAAATTGTCTGCTTTCAGTTTGTTCCTAGTAAAAGGACTTTTCTCTTAATCTATGGAGCCAAGGATTTTTCTTTCCTAGGAAATGACAATTATTAGAGACCCCACACACCCACTTCACGGTCTGTTTCTGTTGCTCCCCTCTGGGAGGAGGTTTTGAAGTCTTCCTAGCAGGGCTGCCAGATTCTGTAACAGCTTGTTCCCTAGGCCAGTGGTCCCCAACCTGTTTTGTACCACGGCCTGGTACAAAATGATCCACGGACCGGTACCAGCACCAGCACGCACGACCAAGGCAAGGCGAGCCGAGCGACCGGCCAGCCAGCCATCCCCCGCTTCTCCCCGCCACCTTCAACTCCTCCTTTGTACCTTCTCGCGGTCGATGGGCTTTTGGGGCTCTTTCTTAATCTCCTCCTGAGTAACGCGAGACTCTACCGCCATTGGGACGGCTCTTCGTTCGAAGCCGCCCTCCCTCCCTTCGACGAAACTAAGGCGCGAGGATTCCTTCAGCACCCAAACGCCGCTTTCCAACCGACGATCGACAAGCTCACACGGAAGCACTTCCTCAAGCGTCGTCGAAACAAGATGGCGGCGCCCAAGCAAAATAGGCGGCCCGGTACAAAACGATCCACGGACCGGTCCCGCTCTGGGGCCCGGTGGTTGGGGACCACTGCCCTAGGCCATCCGTCTGGCAAACTCGCAAGATTCGTTTCTCTCGCCATGTACATGTATACATCTGAACTAGATGGTGTTGTTTCTCTGTGTCACATAATACATGTGGTACATACATAATTTTGTATTTATCTATCTACCTACCTACCTACCTATCTATTATCTTGTCATGTTTATCTAGCGTATATTAGAAGTGGAGACCCTTCAAGAGCTGTATGCAGCGAAATTTCATTTTAATGCCGATTAGTGTAGGTACAAAGTGATAAAGTTATTCTAAGTCTAAGTCTCTAACTGGCTCACTGTTACGACAGTTGCAGTCCTGGGTCATGGGATCCCCTTTTGTGACCTTCTGACAAGCAAAGCCAATGGGGAAACCAGATTCACTTAACAACCGGGTTACTAAGTTAAACCACGGCAGCGATTCCCTTAATCACTGTGGCAAGAAAGGTCGTAAAATGCGGTGAAGCTCTCTTAACTAATGTCTCACTGAGCAAAGGAAATTTGGGGCTCAACTGTGGTCGTGAGTCGAGGACGACCTGTAGTACACAGGAATTTTTTTTTTTTAAAAAATGCACGTATCCATCAAAGGGGACAACCCCCCTCCCTTCAAATTCCCATTGTCAGCCTTCTTACTTTTGACAATGCAGAGCCGTCAACATCATGTGGCTGGAATCCAGAGAATGGATGAAGTTGGGTGGGAAGGCATTTTTCTGCTTTCTTACGTTTGGCTTCCTGTAGGTAAGGCAGAGCAGAAAAGCTTTTGAATTCCAGGCCCGTCTTACCCGCCCTAATCTAGGCCCATCTGTAGCAGCGACCAACATCTCAATCAAATCCATCCTGTTAATCTAGCCCAGGGATCTCCAAACGTGGCCACTTTAAGACTTGGGGACTTCGACTCCCAGAATTCCATGCTGGTTGGGGAATTCTGGGGACTGAAGTCCATGCTGCACACATGCTTTATCCGGAAGCACCCAAATTATTAGATGCATGATTGTTTGCATCACTCACTGGTTTGAGATGGGTGGCTAAACAAATCCAATCAATCAATCAATCTTGCTAAAGAAAAGTGAGACAACTTTTCAGGTGCCCCATCTGATACCAGGTGGGGAGCACATAAGCTAAATTGATTTCACATATAAAGCTCAACCTCTGACAAGAGATGGACAGTTAAGGAACAGGAAAATAAACAAACATTTTGGACCTGCAAACCAATCTAATAGACAAACACTTTGGATTTGCAAACCAAACTAATAAATAAATCAATAAATGCTCACCTTCCGAGTGGGAGGCGAGCAATTTTCACCACTAGGCTATCCCACTGCTCTAAATCTAATAAAAATAAAATAAAATGTATATTTGCTAGTTCAAAATCAGAGCTTGAATTAATTTGAAGGGGGAAAAAGGCTCACTAAACATTAAGCATTTTGGCATTTTCTTTTTTAAGTCGGAGGAGGGTGCAAATAACCAGAGGTTCCTCCTAGACTGTGCCAGCCGGAATTAAGGAGAACTGGACCTTAGCAGTATAACAGAGTTGGAAGGGACATGAGAGATCCTCTAGTCCAACCCTATGCTCAGGCAAGAAACCCTATACCATTCCAGACAAAGGGCTGTCCAATCTCTTCTTAAAAACCTCCAATGTTGGAGCATTCACAACTTCTGGAGGTGAGTTGTTCCAACAATTAATTGTTCAAAACTTTCAGGAAATCCCTCCTTAGTTCTAGATTGTTTCTCTCCTTGATTAGTTTCCACCTGTTGCTTCTAGTTGGATGGCTACAGATTTCCCACTCTGGACTTGAAAGAAAAGTGTTCAGTTCAGAGAGATACTCACTGGTCCACATGGTGGTTGAATTTTAAGCGGAGGCTCTGCAAGTCACCTTTTATCTGGATGGGAAGAGAGAAAAAGAGCAATTTTGGTGATGAGAAGTGTTCCTGCAAGTCAACACAGAGAAAAGCCCAAGGATCAAGAGTGATTTTCAAATTATTTATCTGTAATTAGCCTAATCCGAGTTCAATTCCTGCCAACTAACATGACGCACCCCTACACAGTTAAACCTTGACTTACTGCTGTAATTGTATGTAAAAGTTTGGTCGTGGGATAGTTCTTAAGCAGATCACCACATGAAAGCACTCAATTTTATGACTTGTTCTGTGGTGGTTAAGCATGGTTAAGGAACTGCTGTAGTCACTAAGCAAATCCATTGTTTATTATGGGGTGTTCTTCTGCTGGAAATTGGAAGTAAATGCTGGTTTCTAGGCTGCATTAATGGAGGGAGAGAATCAAGGTCACATGAAGTGTTAGAACCACTTTATAAGGCCTTAGCAAGGCCACACTTGGAATATTTGCATCCAGGTTTGGTCACCAAGGTATAAAAAAAGATGTTGAGGCTCTAGAAAGAGTGCAGAGAAGAGCAACAAAGATGTTTATGGGACTGGAGGCTAAAACATATGAAGAACGGTTGCAGGAACTGGGTATGTCTCGTCTAATGAACAGAAGGATCAGGGGTGACATGATGGGAGTGTTCCACTATTTCACGAAGAAGTGGGGGGTCAACCTATTCTCCAAAGCATCTGAAGGTAGGACAAGAAGCAAGGGATGGAAGATAATTAAGGAGAAAAGCAAGTTAGAACTAAGGAGAAATTTTCTGACAGTGAGGCCAATTAATCGGTGGGACAAGTTGCCTCCAAAAGTTGTGAATGCTCCAACACTGGAGGTTTTAAAGAAGAGTTTGGACAACCATTTGCCTGAAATGGTATAGGGTTTCCTGCCTGAGGAGGGGGATGGACTAGAACAGGGGTCCCCAACCACCGGGCCGCGGACCAGTACCGGTCCGTGGAACATTTTCTACCGGGCCGCCAGTTTGCTGGGCGCCGCCATCTTGTTTTGATGAGAAAGTGCTTCCGGTGAGCTTTTCCGGTTGGAAAGCGGCGTTTGGGTCCTGAAGGAATCCTCGCGCCTTAGTTTCATTGAAGAGGGGGGGCAGCTTCGAACGAAACTAAGGCGCGAGGATTCTTTCAGCACCAAGGCAAGGCGAGCCGAGCGACCGTCCCGAAGCCCATCGACAAAGGTACAAAGGAGGAGTTGAAGGTGGCGGGGAGAAGCGGGGGACGGCTGGCTGGCCAGTCGCTCGGCTCGCCTTGCCTTGTTATGCGTGCTGATGCCGTTACCGGGCCGCGGATCATTTTATGATGCTGGTACCGGGCCCTGGCACAAAAAAGGTTGGGGGCCACTGGACTAGAAGACCTCAAGGATCCCTTCCCACTCTGTTATTGTTATAAATAGGAAGGATATAAGGAGGATATAAATCCTTGCATTCCGCAACAGTCAGTTAAAACTGAAAAAGCTTCCTGGATGAGAAGCAAAATGTTTCCAAAAAACAGGGAAAAAAAAAAACCCAACCAAGTTCAGTTACCTTTTGGGAAAAATGCCTTTGGGATGTGCTGGCCAACACGTTCCAAAATCGGTCTCAAGTGCAAACTTAGTTTGCTTTGAGGTCTGAAACAACTGAAGCAGAGCGGCATCATTCCCAAAGTGTTTGAAACACTCCATTTTGAGTTTAAAAAAATAAAACAAAACACCACACTTCCAAAACGATAACAATTGACCCGTCTTCTTCTCAAAACAAGAGTTTCAAACTGGAGGCGGCTTAGCGTAAAACAAAGCACTGGCACCTCCACAGGGGTCGTGTTTTGAAAGCTTTCTGCCAGCCCAAAACCCTTCTCCTTCCTGTATATGTCCCGTGCGATGATGGTGCCTTGACCACAGGCAAACATAATTCAGTCTTGGTACTCTCTGAGCTTGGTTGGGTTTTTTTTGCAGACGTCTCATTTACCCAACTAGGTAACATCATCAGTGCTAGAAGGGAGCGGGGTTAATGCTTTCTCTCTCTCTGTCTGTCTGTCTCTCTTTAACAGATATACCTGGAAGCACTTGGTTAAGTTTTGGGGAAACCGGATACTGAGCTGCATGATCTGATGCAATAGAACCTTTAACAGATAACCAGAGTTGGAAGGGACCTTGTAGGTCATCTAGTCCAACCCCCGCATACACACACATATAATTTAAGGATAGGTCATGACAATTCCTCTGCAATCTTAAGGACATGACACAAAAGGGGATGGGAGGAAGAAGGATGGGAGAGGGGAGGGAAAAGGAAACTTGAGTGTCCATTCCTCAAAGTGTTGTGTAGTTGCCTGTCCTCTGACCAGCAGGTGGGTCTGGCTGCTCCCTGCTCCCCTCAGAGAGGCCAGAGCCTAAGGGCCCTCCATTCTTCGGGGCAACTGATGCAAACACAGTGTAAATTCCAGCATGGAATTCTGGGAGTTGAAGTCCACACATCTTAAAGGGGCCAAAGCTGAGGAATACTGGTCCAGAGAAATGGACTGGGGGGGGGGGGGAGCGGCAAGGGAAGGAAGGAAGAGATAACCATTGCAAATAAAATCAGTGGCCCTCTGTTTAATCAGCCCCAGTTTCTTAAAAAAAACAAACAACAACCCCAAACCACTATTTCTTTTTAGAAATAGGTAGGAAGAGGCTATAAATACATGAAAAAAACAAACGCCCATGTGGCAGGACAAAATTCCACTCTTTTTTCCCTAAAGCTTCAGCCCGCTGTTTGCTTCTCCTGGCAAAATCCCCCTTGGCTGCCCTGTCTGCTGAGTCATCCTCTCCCCTGGAATGGCTGACTCATACCTTCCAGCACTGCAAAATGCTGAGTCACGCCACCACTCTTTTTTTTTTTCCCCTCCTCCCTTGGTTGGAGGCTACTCAGGGGGTGCTCTTGACTGTAAGGCTCCCCCACACCCCAGAAAACCCCAGCACCCACCTTTCATCGGGGCCTCAGCTTTCTGTTCCCTGCCTGTGTTAGGAGGAGGAGGAGGAGAAGCAAAAGGAGGGGTAGAGGAGGAAGAGAAAGAGGGAAAAAGTGAGAGGGGGGAGGAAAAAAAAGACGTAGAAAGAGGAGGAGAAGAAGAGGCAGAGAAGTGAGATGGAGGAGAGAGGAGAAGGGAAAAGAAGGGTGGAGGAGGAGCAGAGGAAGAGGAAGGAAAGTAAGATAAAGGAGAAGGAAAGAAGGATGGGTGGGAGGGAGAAAGAAAAGGAAGGGAGGAGGGGAAGAAGAAAAGTGACATGCAAGAGGAGGCGGAAGGGAGGGAAGGAGCAGGAAAAAGAAGGAAGGAGCAGAGAGAGAGAGGAAGAGAAGTGAGATAGATGAGGAGGAGGAGGAGGAGGAAGAGAACAGAACACGCTGATTCTGAGCTTTGAGTGACAGAAACCAAGGATCCTTGAGGGACTTACCGACATGGATTTCTTGTTATGGTAAGGCTGAATGATGGGCAGCCCTAGCGGGGTCACCCACTCCACCGTCTGGCCCGTCTTGGAAATCAGCCAGGCGCTTTCGGTCAGCCAGTTCTGCAAGACCAAAAGGGATGGTGAACCAGATGGAATGGAATAGAAACTGGAAGGGACCTTGGAGGTCTTCTAGTCCAACCCCCTGGCTCAAGCAGAAGCTATTCCATATGCACACACGTATACATACATACACACATTACCCAGACACACACATATACAAACACATATAAAGCAATAGCAAAAGCACTTAGACTTATATACCACTTCCTAGTGCTTTATAGCCCCCTCTATTTGCCTCCAAACTGGGTCCTCATTTTACCGACCTCGGAAGGATGGAAGGCTGAGTCAACCTTGAGCCTGGCGGGATGGTGTTAGGAATATATGTCACCTAACAGATATTTGGGTTAGAAATATATAAACCAGGATAGACATTTTAATACTGTCTCTTTAAGAGCATGCTAAAAACTGCATGTGGGTGTGGTTACTCAAACCGCCATAAGATGGAGCCAGAAACCTGGGTTGTTTTAGTCTTAGTCTCAGAAGAGAGTGTGCCTGAGTGAGTATCTGTTTCCTTCTGTGTGTCTGAGTGAGTATCTGTTTCCTTCTGTTCCTCCATTTTTCCTAATTGACTGATATTACTGGATTTAATGTAAGTCTGTTACTGAACTGTTTTTTGACACTGAACTTTGATATTTGGATTACCCCTGGATTGAAAACTGACCGATTTAACTTGTGAATGACTTTGGATTGCTTATTTTGGACTTTGCTTAAACCTTTCTGGAAGTAAAAACCTACATTTACTGTACAGTGTATCTGTGTGCTCTGTGTGTATTATTCAAACACTACTCTTTATACGTCTCCCTGTATGTGCTCATTCACCTGATGGGGAATTACCTCAACAGATGGTTTGAAGAAAGGGGTGTGGGGGGCTTAGGGAAGGAACCATATTTGGAATTTCGGGAGGGTGAGAGGGAAGGTCTCCCACAGCGTGGCCTCTGCCTCTTCAGAGATGCCTATAGGTTTGAATTTCCCCTCCGGCCATGCTGTTAAGTTACATGAGTTAAGAAGTCTGAGAACTGAACTCCCAATACATAAGTTAATATAACATATTAAGAGCCAGTTTGGTCCAGCTTGGTTAAGGCACCTGGCCTAGAAGAGCAACAGCACTTAAGACTGATATAGTCCTTTACAGTGATTTATGGCCTTCTCTAAGCGGTTTACAAAATCAGCATATTGGCCCCCAACAACCCGGGTCCTCATTTTACCCACCTCAGAAGGCTGAGTCAACCTTGAGTGGGTGAGACTTGAACTGCCAAATGGCTGGCAGCTGGCAGTCAGCAGAAGTAGCCCTGCAGTACTGCATTTGAACCGCTGCACCACCACAGCTCAAGAAAATGGGAGATTAGGCCTGCCTTGGGCCTGAAAGCTGGCTAGGTGACTTTGGGCCAATCACCAGGAGATGGTGAGTTCTAGTTCTGCCTTAGGAATGAGAGCAGACTGGGTGACTTTGGGCTAATCACCAAGGGGTGGTGAGTTCTAGCCCCGCCTTGGATATGAAAGCCAGCAGGGTGATTTTGAGCCAGTCACTCTAATCTACCGCACAGGATTGTTGTGGGGGAAACGGGAGGAGGAGGAAGTATCAGATAGGTTCTTCTCCATGAATTATTTAGAAACAATAACAAAGGCAGGATTAAAAATCACATAACATTAAATAAACAACTCTACCCAACTGTCTATCCCCCACAAAACATAAATTCTGACTACTCTTATCATTACTTTACTGCTGGGCCCCCACAATAAATGCAACCCATGATCCCCCCCCCCCCCCAAATTGCCCCCCCTCTTGCTAGTAGTTTCTGCAAAAGCAACAGATTTTGGTTTATTAAATACAGATAGTCCTCGACTCTTCAACCACAAATTAAGCTCAAAATTTCAGCTGCTAAGCAGGACAGTTGTTAAGTCATGTTTTGGCCCATTTTACAATCTTTCTTGCCACAGTTGTTAAGTGAATCACCGCAGTTGTTTAGTAACAAGGTTGTTAAGTGAATCCGTCTTCCCAATTGACTTTGCTTGTCAGAAGGTCGCAAAACGGGATCATGTGACCCCGGGGACCCTGCAATGGTCGTAAGTACTTGCCAGTTGCCGAGCATCTGAATTTTGATCACATGACCAAGGGGATGCTGCAACAGCCATAAGTGTGTAAACAACCATTAGTTACTTTTTTCCAGTGCCTCAGTAACTTACAACAATCACTAAATGAACGGTTGTAAGTTAAGGGCTACCAGCATTAAACTATTAACTATTTTAACATGGCGCTTGCACCAGGTCAGGGAGCATGAGATTACAAGAGAGAGAGAAAATAAGAGCAAGGAAGTTCTTTTAAATTGCAAATCATGAGTTTTACCTGAATTTCCCGAGACCCGGAAAACATTTGGGAAAGGCTTTGAAAGACTCGCTGGACAAGATACTTTGAAGCCTGCCAAACATTCTCCTAGAAGCAGGGGAAAAGATTCCATAAGAACTGTAGACAGGAGATGCAATAGCTAGAGCACGTAGACTTATATTCCGCTTCACAGTGCTTTACAGCCCCTCTCTACGCTGTTTACAGAGTCAGCATCTCGCCTCCAACAGTCTGGGTCCTTGTTTTACCAACCTCGGAAGGATGGAAGGCTGAGTCAGTCTTGATCCAATCTGGATCGAATTCCTGGCAGTGAACAGAGTCAGCCTGCAATTCTGCATTCTGATCCCTGTGCCACCATGGCAGTCTCAAAACCTCGGCCTAGCTAATTGAAGGATAGGGCTAGCTCAGGAATTCTGGGAGTTAAAACCTCGGCCTAGCTAATCGAAGGATAAGGGCTGGCTCAGGAATTCTGGGAGTTAAAACCTCAGCCTAGCTAATCGAAGGATAAGGGCTGGCTCAGGAATTCTGGGAGTTAAAACCTCAGCCTAGCTAATCGAAGGATAGGGCTGGCTCAGGAATTCTGGGAGTTAAAACCTCAGCCTAGCTAATCGAAGGATAAGGGCTGGCTCAGGAATTCTGGGAGTTAAAACCTCGGCCTAGCTAATCGAAGGATAGGGCTGGCTCAGGAATTCTGGGAGTTAAAACCTCAGCCTAGCTAATCGAAGGATAGGGCTGGCTCAGGAATTCTGGGAGTTAAAACCTCGGCCTAGCTAATCGAAGGATAAGGGCTGGCTTGGGAATTCTGGGAGTTAAAAGTCCACAAGTCATCAAGGGGCCATAGTTCCCCACCTCTGATCTAATCTTTTAAAACCAACCGTCCACCGGGCAATTTAAGAACACCCTCCCCAGACAATCTACAGCAGTGGCTCACAACTTCAGTGCGAAATTTTAAAAAGAATGGTTCGGAAAGTAAAAGGAATAAATTGGCTGTGTTCACATGATATGCTTATATGCTGGGCTTTGTTAATATTTGTTTTAAGTGGGGGGAGAAAGGGTGGGGGGAGAGAAGAAAAGTCACCTTTGGGAAGTCTTCAATCTCCTTCAGCTGTTTTTCTATCTGGAGACGCCCCCCATATTGGGTGACTCCATACACAACCGTCATTACCGTCTGCTTCACCACCTTCCGAGTTACGTAGCCCTCCAGGACCTGAGCAATTTTGATTCCATTTTCGGCATCATTCTTCCGAGTTAACTCCACCTGCATTGGGGAAAGCAAGGAGGATAAAATGGCAAGGAGGATAAAATGGGAGATGCTTCTAAGCAGGCTCAGAGGACCAGGGACCGCGATTCTTGCGTTGGCTGAAGCAATGCCCCACAAGCAAAACAGGAGGCTCAATTGTTGTCGCTGGTCCCTTATGGATGGATGGATGGACGGACAGACAGACAGACAGACAGATATAAACAGACAGACATATACACCTTTATATCTATATACTGTATATAAAAGCAAAATACCATTCATGCATCATCACAAAATCTCCAGAACTGTAAAGCCTACAAATTTGAAATTTGGCACGTTCCTCTTGGCTTCTAGGTCAGGGGTCTCCAACCTTGGCAACTTTAAGCCTGGAGGACTTCAACTCCCAGAATGCCCCAGCCAGCTTTGCTTAAAGTTGCCACGGTTGGAGACCCCTGTTCTAGGTGCTTACTAAGAAAGGATTTGTCAAAATGACCATCAGAGCATTAGTATTTCCTATGTTATTATTAACACGCTCTGATGCTAAGGAGATCTACGCCCCCTCCCCACCTGAAAAGAAATCTGTTCCAAATGCAAAACACAAGCAGAGGAGAGGAGTCTCAGGTTCAGTTTCAGTTTCACAGCACCAAGCAGAGTTAGTACAGACCAGTTGAGCTAAGCCACGCCCAGGCTCCTTGCTGTCTCCTCTTTGCTCACACAGCTAATACTATTTCAGTTTCCAAATAGCCCTCAACTCTCTCACACACTGACAGGAGGCTAGCCGGATGAATACCGATGGATGCTGGTAGGCAGAGGCCGAATTTCCACCTTGTATATTCTTCCCCCCAAACTAAGCTCGACCACATAGTTCCATAGCAAAGCACAGGTATCGAGCCATTTAATATATATAAGCACAAGTAATTCTCGATGTACCGGTAGTCCTCGACTTGCAACAGTTCATTTAGTGACCGTTCAAAGTTACGTCACTGAAAAAAGTGACTTACAGCCATTTTTCACATTTACGACCATTGCAGCATCTCCATGGGTCACAGGATCAAAATTCAGAACCTTGACAACTGACACATACTTATGATGGTTGCAGCGTCATGGGCTCACCTTCTGGCAAGCAAAGTCAGTGGGGAAGCCAGATTCACTTAACAACTGGGCTACTAATTTAACAACTGTAGCGATTCGCTTAACAACGATGGCAAGGAAGATCATCAAAATGGGGCAAAACTCACTCAAGGAATGTCCCTGTAACAGAAATTTCGGGCTCCATTGTGGTCGTAAGTCGAGGACTACCTGTACAATCATAATGTCCTGTCCATTGTCGTAATGGTCTTTTAGAAAACAGGTCTATTTTATAAGTGGGTAGAACAGGCAAGAGAGAATAACATACCTTTACAGAATCCAAATCAGTCTTTAAGACTGTTTGAGGTTAGCTCTTTCCTAGTTAGCTATGTTGTGTGAGGGAGCAGGCATGGAAAGGTAATAAAAGACTGTTCTATTCAGCTAGTTCCCTGATGGCGAACCTACGGCACGCATGCCACAGGTGGCACGCACAGCCATTTGTGCCGGCACGCGAGCTGCAGGCAAACTTACCTCACTGTACATGTACACGCCTCACAGCTGATTTTTGGCCGGTTTGAGGCCTTTTATGGCCTCCCAAAGGTTTGAGGAAGGCTTCTGCAGGCTTTGCAGGCCGAAAACTAGCCCTGTTTCATCATTTCCTGTTTTTCCGAAAATACCGGAAGTGACGAAACCGGCCTAGTTTTCAGCCTGCAATGCCTGCAGAAGCCTGCAGAAGCCTCTGGGAGGCCGAAAAAGGCCTCAAACCGGCTGAAAATCAGCTGTGAGGGACAGTGCAGGTAATGGGGCAGCCGGGATTGCATGCATAGGAGGCATGGGTGGGGCGCACATTGCCTTCTGGGTTCTGGCACCCGAGTGTGAGTGTGCAAGCACGCACACAATTTTTGGCACAGAAGCCCAAAAGGTTAGCCATCATTGAGCTCGTTGGTGGTATCATCACCAATGAGATGAAATCCTAGAGGGGCTCCAGAAAAATATATTCATTCCAGGAGCTCTGTTTGAATAACAGAGTTGGATGGGACCTCCGAGGTCTTCTAGTCCAACCCGCTGCTCAAGCATTTGTCAATAGTAGGGCGACAGAGGCAATGCGCGAACCACCAAAATAGACCTGTTTCAATTGTGCCATGGATATTTAATTCCAGAAAGCTTCAAAAAACTCAAAGGCCATTGCTGTTACAACATATTACAATATATTACAACAGCCTGTTATTTGGGAGATAAACCATTCCTGATCATGGAGGTTCCATACCTCTTTCTAGTCTTTCTGCAAGGTGCAGAAAGGAATACTGCTGCTGTGGCGCTCTTCAGAAGTTTAATGTAGGGTTAGGATGAAAGGAGGGGTCGGATGGAAATTTAATGTAGGGTTAGGACGAAAGGAGGGGTTGGATGCAAGTTTAAAGTAGGATTAGGGTGAAAGAAGGACTAAGGTGCTTATGCCAGCAGCTTTTCCCACGCAGCCACAGCCTCACCTGGTGAGCCACTGAAGTGTAGACGTCCTGAGGAACTTCAGATGGGGCGAGATTGACGGAGTAGGCGCCAAGCACGTCGCGCCCAAGCGCAGCGTAGTGCTGAAGCCCATTGCATGAACCATCCTGAGGAGAGGAAATGGATGACAAGAGAGAATTAGCCAACGTCAGCAATTTGGAAACAACAGACGCCTTTGGACAAAGTGGCATCTTGACTCCCCACCCAAAAACCCCTCCCAAAAACATCATGGTTGGAGTCATAAATTATGTTAAATCTTAGCTTGAATAACATAACCAGGAAGCTCTAAAGTGGCCCCCGGGATCTGCAAATAATGGTTTATTATGATTAATAATTATTATGCTAATAATTATAACAAAATGAGACATAATAACACATAATTAAAATTATATATATTAAGCTTGTATGCCACTTGAATTACATTTCCTGTAGTCTAAGGAAATCTGGAATGAGGAATGAAATAATTAATATTTTAATAAATAAATAAATACTGCCTACAGTCATTTTGTGCCAAGATGGATGGCAAACAAACTTAATAAGTAATTTTTTTAAAAAAAAATCCTCTTGGGTTTCACATCATCCCTTGCCTGGTGTAAAACAAAGGAGAAAAGGACCTCCAAGCACATATGCACCAAAGACAAATTCCTCACACTTGGCCAATAAAGAATTCTATCCTATTCTACTTCTTTTCTATTTCTATTCTATTCTTTCTTCTATTCTATTCTTATTCCTTCTATTCTATTCCTCTATTCCTATTTCAATTCTATTCTTATTACTATTCTATTTTATTCCTTAGTCCACATTCTATTCTATTCCTACTCTATTCCTTACTCCCTGTTCTACTGCCTATTCTATTCTGTTCTATTCTATTCTATTCTATTCTATTCTATTCTATTCTATTCTATT